TGTTAGCATACGGTATTTGTTTTGCTCTTTCTTACTTCACTCTATGACAGACTCTAGGTCCATCCACCTCACTACAAATAACTCAATTTCATTTCTTTTTATGGCTGAGTAATAATCCATTGTATATATGTGCCACATCTTCTTTATCCATTCATCTGTTGGTGGACACTTAGGTTGCTTCCATGTCCTGGCTGTTGTAAATAGAGCTGCAATGAACATTTTGGTACATGACTCTTTTAGAATTATGGTTTTCTCAGGGTATATGCCCAGTAGTGGGATTGCTGGGTTGTATGGTAGTTCTATTTTTAGTTTTTTAAGGAACCTCCATACTGTTTCCATAGTGGCTGTATCAATTTACATTCCCACCAGCAGTGCAAGAGGGTTCCCTTTTCTCCACACCCTCTCCAGCATTTATTGTTTGTAGATTTTTTGATGACGGCCATTCAGACTGGTGTGAGATGATATCTCATTGTAGTTTTGATTTGCATTTCTCTAATGATTAATGATGTTGAGCATTCTTTCATGTGTTTGTTGGCAATCTGTATATCTTCTTTGGAGAAATGTCTATTTAGGTCTTCTGCCCATTTTTGGATTGGGTTGTTTGCTTTTTGGTATTGAGCTGCATGAGCTGCTTGTAAATTTTGGAGATTAATCCTTTGTCAGTTGCTTCATTTGCAAATATTTTCTCCCATTCTGAGGGTTGTCTTTTGGTCTTCTTTATGGTTTCCTTTGCTGTGCAAAAGCTTTGAAGTTTCATTAGGTCCCATTTGTTTATTTTTGTTTTTATTTCCATTGCTCTAGGAGGTGGGTCAAAAAGGATCTTACTATGATTTTGCTGTGATTTGTGTCATAGAGTGTTCTGCCTATGTTTTCCTCTAAGAGTTTTATAGTGTCTGCTCTTACATTTGGGTCTTTAATCCATTTTGAGTTTATTTTTGTGTATGGTGTTAGGGAGTGTTCTAATTTCATACTTTTACATGTACCTGTCCAGTTTTCCCCGCACCACTTACTGAAGAGGCTGTCTTTTCTCCACTGTATATTCTTGCCTCCTTTATCAAAGATAAGGTGACCATATGTGCGTGGGTTTATCTCTGGACTTTCTATCTTGTTCCATTGATCTATATTTCTGTTTTTGTGCCAGTACCATACTGTCTTGATTACTGTAGCTTTGTAGTATAGTCTGAAGTCAGGGAGCCTGATTCCTCCAGCTCCATTTTTCGTTCTCAACATTGCTTTGGCTATTCGGGGTCCTTTGTGTTTCCATACAAATTGTGAAATTTTTTGTTCTAGTTCTGTGAAAAATGCCAGTGGTAGTTTGATAGGGATTGCATTGAATCTGTAGATTGCTTTGGGTAGTAGAGTCATTTTCACAATGTTGATTCTTCCAATCCAAGAACATGGTATATCTCTCCATCTATTTGTGTCATCTTTATAATTTCTTTCATCAGTGTCATACAATTTTCTGCATACCGGTCTTTTGTCTCCTTAGATAGGTTTATTCCCAGATATTTTATTCTTTTTGTTGCAATGGTAAATGGGAGTGTTTTTTTAATTTCACTTTCAGATTTTTCATCACTAGTGTATAAGAATGCCATGAGAGATTACTACAAGCAGCTCTATGGCAATAAAATGGACAACCTGGAAGAAATGAACAAATTCTTAGAAATGCACAACTTGCCGAGACTGAACCAGGAAGAAATAGAAAATATGAACAGACCAATCACAAGCACTGAAATTGAAACTGTGATTAAAACTCTTCCAGCAAACAAAACCAGATGGCTTCACAGGCGAATTCTATCAAACATTTAGAGAAGAGCTAACACCTATCCTTCTCAAACTCTTCCAAAATATAGCAGAGGGAGGAACACTCCCAAACTCATTCTACAAGGCCACCATCACCCTGATACCAAAACCAGACAAAGATGTCACAAAGAAAGAAAACTACAGGCCAATGTCACTGATGAACATAGATGCAAAACTCCTCAACAAAATACTAGCAAACAGAATCCAACAGCACATTGAAAGGATCATACACCATGATCAAATGGAGTTTATTCCAGGAATGCAAGGATTCTTCAATATACGCAAATCAATCAATGTGATACACCATATTAACAAATTGAAGGAGAAAAACGATATGATCATCTCAATAGATGCAGAGAAATCTTTTGACAAAATTCAACACCCATTTATGATAAAAACCCTACAGAGGGCTTCCCTGGTGGTTGAGGGTCCACCTGCCGATGCAGGGGGGACACAGGTTCATGCCCCGGTCCGGGAGGATCCTGCATGCTGCAGAGCGGCTGGGCCCGTGAGCCATGGCCGCTGAGCCTGCCGTCCGGAACCTGTGCTCCACAGTGGGAGAGGTTATGGCAGTGAGAGGCCCGTGTACCGAAAAATAAATAAATAAATTAAACCTGCAGAAAGTAGGCATAGAGGGAACTTTCCTCAACATAATAAAGGCCATATATGACAAACCCACAGCCAACATCGTCCTCAATGGTGAAAAACTGAAACCATTTCCACTAAGATCAGGAAGAAGACAAGGTTGCCCACTCTCACCACTCTTATTGAACATAGTTTTGGAAGTTTTAGCCACAGCAATCAGAGAAGAAAAAGAAATAAAAGGAATCCAAATCGGAAAAGAAGAAGTAAAGCTTTCAGTGTTTGCAGATGACATGATGCTATACATAGAGAATCCTAAAGATGCTACCAGAAAACTACTAGAGCTAATCAATGAATTTGGTAAAGTAGCAGGATACAAAATTAATGCACAGAAATCTCTGGCATTCTTATACACCAGTTCTACTTTTTAAAAAGTACCAAGAAAAAAAATACGCCAAGCATTTCTCACTACCTACAGAACTATCATCTTGGTCCGAACTCCCATTACCTTTCATCCTGATTATTTTGGAAGCCTCCTAATTGGTCTCCCTGCTTCATTTAGTGTGTTTGCAGCACATTGGCCAGAGTGAACATGTTAAAAATATGTCAGATTATGTCACTGCTTTGTTCACAATCCACCAGTGGCCACCCATCTTACTCGAGTAAAAGCCAAAGTCCTTACAATGTAAAAAAGGTTTCTCACAGTCTGTCTCCTGCCCCACTCCACTCAGTATTATTTCACCCTTTGCCTACTCAGCTTCACCCACAGAAGCCTTCTTGCTCTTCCTAGAACATGTCAGATAGGATCCTTCCTAGGGCTTTTGCACCTTCTGGACCATTTTTCTCCCACTCCGTTCCCATCATTCCCTACTTTTCTGCTCTGGTTTATCTCTAATGCATATCACTTAGTTGTTTATTTGCTTACCGGCTGCCCTCTTCCACTAAAATGTATGTCCCATGATGGCAGGGCTTTTTATTTGTTTTGTAACTGCTGTATCCTAAGTATCTAGAACTGAATATTTGTTGAATGAATGAATGATGAATTGAGGGGAGAAGAGGTAGGCCTTGCATGCTGTGGGTAGCTAGCAGAGTTTATAGGAAGAATGAAGAGCTTTATTGTATCTGGTGAATCTGAGTGGATCAGTTAAGACAGTTTCTACTCCTTTAAGTCATAAATATAAATGTGTTAATTATAAATTGTTAAGTGTAAGAAAGAAAAGGGTGGAGTGAGAATTTATAATGGGGGGACTGATAAAGATTGGGGTAAAAGGAAGGCTTCTCTGAGAGAGCAACATATAAGCAGACAGCAAAAGCATATGTTGAAGTTAGGTAGGTGAAGAGTCCAGGGAAAGAATTTCATGCAGAGGGAACAGCTTATGCAAAGGCCCTGCAGCCAGAATGACCACGGAAAATTCCATGAACTGAAGAAGGTTAGGGTGATGGTATTGACGGGTGCAAGGGAACAAGCTAGATCATCCAGGCCACGCTAACCTGTATTAGAGTAAGTTTAAATAGCTGTCTTAATTACCAATCTAGAACTTTTCTCTAATTGAAGAATGAATGGTTTATACCTCTTAAAAGAATTTCCATCCCGAGTAAATAGTGTACGGGGATGGGATGGAGAAGGAAAGTTTTAGTTAAGACGAGAAGGCCTTTTCAGAATCCCTGAAAATATAACCTGAGCACCACTGTGCCCAGGGCTGGAAATTGGAGGTAGTTGTCCCTGGCTTATCTGTGTGGATAGTTTCCCTGGCTTATCTGTGTGGATGCTAGTTCGATTTTGTTAATTCATTCACTCATTCATTAAATTTATATTCATTTTATGCACGCAGTGCAGAACTGAAGGTCTCCCCACCAGGAAAATGTCACCGCTGGATTAGTATTTCAGGTTTTAATGTAGGTTGTCTGATGGATTTAATTGGCAGTCTGGTGGTCCAGATTGAAAAGTTCTGTGGTGCTAATATTCGCAAGATGCATTAATGTAGGTTTAGAAAGACCAGAGATGATTTGCCTTCAATTAAGGAAAATTGGAAGATTATATAAATATTATTTATTTTTATGCCTCCTCCTCCCCGCCCCCTCCCCCCTCTTTCTTCCACTTTTCTCTATCAGCCATTCTCTTTGGAGTTTGAAGACCAGAACCAAGAAAAGGAGAGCAACAGACAAATGAAGTGGTCCCCGGTCTGCTGCCCTGTGCTCTCAACAGTAAAAGGAAGGTTGGCCAAGAGTCGACGCTCTGGATGAAGAAGATAAGGCAGTGCTTCGGCTTCTTAGACACCAGGACCGGTAGGGCAGCTGAGAAGCGGGCCCAGCGCAAAGCGGCTGCGGGTCGCGGCGAGGCAGCCGCCGCCTGTTTCTGAACCCCATTCCGGTAGCACCCGTTTCCCACAAGGGAGGCAGCCTGCCTTCCCCGGACCCCGCCGCGAGGTGGAGGGGGACCCGCGGGGAGGGGGTCAGCGCAGGGACCCAGAGCCGGGCGACCCGCAGGTCCCGGCGGAAAGTTGGCAGCCACCGCCCCCCTCGCCCGCCTTCCTCCTGGACTCTCCACCCCTCTCCGGGCCACACGGCGGAGGCGGGGGGTTGGGGGAACTGGCCTCGTGTTTTGGAACAGCTGCAGCCGGCGTTGGGCCCGCCTGGAATGCGGGAACAGGCTGCACACCAGGACTTTTATGGAAACTTGCTGCTGGAGCCGGCGGCGGCCAGAGGGCTCGTAGCGGCTGGAGCGGCGGCGGCCGGAGCGCCAGGACCCCTGACCACACCCCGGCGCCCAGAGCCTGCCAGCGCGCACCCCGGACCTTCGCGTGTCGCCGGCTCGAGGCGGGTGAGAGGAGTCGGGGGGACGAGGGGAGGGGGCGGCCGAGACGGAGCCGTTGGCTCCCCTGGGGCGGCGGGGACGCGCGCCCCGGCTCCTGGCCCGGCTCCATCCAGCTGTGGCGACGCGCTGGTCTGCCGGCGCGAGCGAAACGGCCCTCGGAGCCGCTTCCGCGGGCTTGGCGGAGGGCGGACCGGGATCGGCCTGGCTGTCCCTCCATGGTCACCGGCCTCGGGCTCCCGGCCACGATTTCCTTGCCCGGCTCCGCAGCTTCAGCTCGGCTTGCGCCCTGTCTGTGCAGTTTCGGGAGCTTTCTCGGTCCTGCAGGTAGTGAGCCCTACGGCGGTGGAGCGGGTGCCGGTCCCCTTGCTCTGTCCCAGGGGTCCCGGCAGGTAAAGTGCCGTGTCGTCCCCCACCACGTGCCCCCGGCGCGGTCTCCGTCTCCGCCGGCAGTGCCTGTTGTTTTTAAGAGCAGTCATTCCTGATCGGTCCCTGTGGAGGCTGGGGACTGAAATGTGATTTAACAGCCCATCATCTGCCCCCTCCCTCCAGACTAGTTTTTAGTGATTCTAACCTATGTCGGATGTTGGGAGTTGTGCAACTAGAGCTGGAAGTTGGAGTGAATGATGTAGTCACCTCTCGAGACCTCCCTTCTCTGTATGCTTTTTGAAAACGCCGAGCCATTCCAACTGTTTGTAAACTCTGCAAAGCTCTACAAATGCTAAAAAATTATTGTTAATGGCGTTTATAAAGAAAATAACCTAGTTGAGAGGTTAGTTGATTATCGCAATGACTTCAAGATCTTCATTTCATATTTATTTAATTTAAGGTCCATAATGCGAACGAAGAGGTTGGAAGTGGGGGTGGGGTGAAGAGAGAGTGGGAGAGAGAGACAGAGAGGGAGGATAGAATGAGAACAAGATAAAAATAGCATAAGGATATGCCCTAACAAAATGTCTGTCCTTGGGCTGGAGGCAGGTAAAGAAAAGAAGTTAAGCCATAATAAGAAAGAAATTAGTTCCATGAGCAAAGCAACAGGAGCATCATTCACCAGCTTAATTTTGTTAATGAATTCATGTATGGGCCCATTGGCCTTCGAGTCACAACATAACTATGTGTTGGGTAGCATGATTATATAAACTTAGGTATTTATACCATCTTAGTCACCCGTCATTGAGTGAACCACATTATTCTCCGCCAATCCTTTTACAGGTTAAATTGTTGCCATAAGAAAACTCAGAATACACATAAGTCTCTGAAATTCTTTTGAGTTTTGAAGCCCGGTAGGGTGGAAAAGTGCATTATCAACCAAATTGAGGGACAGGGTTTTTTTTGAGGAGGTATATTTAGTATAAATGAACTTTGATTACTTAATGTAGTTAAGTCAGATTCTTTCTCACAGCTATTAGCCCCCTATTTTTGAAGATATTTTATATTCTGGATGGGAATACTTGAAAGAAAAATGTGGGCAATTCTGTATTTTGTCTGCCACGACTCCTTTAAAGAGCCCTAAGCAAAAACCACAACAAAATTCTTTTAAATCCAATTTACGTTGATACAGTATTGATGTAATTTCCATTTTCATGAAAGAGTCACACTTTTAAATCCATTTGAAGCTGAAATGTAGTGAATAGCAATTTTTCCTACTCATTGAAAATGGAATCTGTGCTATTTTTGAAAATTTGATATGTAAGACTGATCATTGTCAAAATGTATGTCATCTTGAGATGACTATATTTAGCATCAGCGAAGGAATGCATTATCTAGGTTTTTGAACAGTATTTCTCCCCTGAAATTACATTTGAGGTATTTGGGTTAGGGTTTCATTTGTGAACAGAATGAAAACTGGATATGTATATTTGGAAGAGATTAATTGGGAATTTAGATTGCTTAGAACCCAAGTGGCCTGAAATGAGATACTACTTCATTTAGGAAAAAAAAAAGAAAACCTACTGTTACCTTTGAAACACCCTAAAGGCAAATAAAAGTATTGTTTAAATAAAAATACATGCCTAAAAGAAAGAAAACAATGTAGTAAATGTAAAAAAGTATGTAACAGATGGGCAGATGTCTGAAAGATTTTATAGAAGAGAGGACTTAGTACATTGTATGTTTGTAGGCCACACACACAAAACATCTTAGTAGTCAACTTTATAATTAAGAAGGAGAATGACCTACAGCATTCTTAACAATTTCACATATCTCTGTTCTTATTTAATCTGTCTGTGGTCGAGATCACCTGTATAGTTTCTTTCATGTTCTCTTTCTTCTGGTTTTATAATTGCAAGATTACATATCTATATACACTTAGAGTTGTTATATTTTCTTTTTCTATTTACATGCTCAGTGCATAGTTTGGCTTGACTTAATGGTAGTATACTTTCCACACTCTAGGATGGGTGGATTTTTACCTAGAAATCCAACTTATTTATTTAACTTTCAATCAAATTTGTTTTTTATTATAAAGTTAATATAACCATATTATATTTATGGTTAAAAATTGTGGGGAACTGGAAAGGGGGCTCTCATCATCTGACACATAAATGGTTAGTATTTTGATATAGTTCCCTCTTTTCCCCATGCATAGGATGTTTTTTCTCTCATTGCCATATCTCAGGGAAAGTGCATATGTGAAAGCATCTGATACAGCATCTGCCATCTAGTAAGTGTTCAAGAGTTGGTTCTTTTTCTCCCTTCCCCTCTTTTTTTTTCTTTCTTCATCTCCTTTTTGTTCTCAGATTAGAAGACAGATAGTTTGGGGTCCGTAGGCCAGGTTTTGAGGTTGGTGAAATTTGACTTCCACCTTCCTTTCTGTGCCTCTTTACTGCCCTTTTCTCCCCTTTGATTCTGCCTCCCTCTTTCTGGCCAAAATAGGCCTCCCCTTTGTCTCTTTGCATTTTCTCAATGATGCTTGTTCATTTAGATCAAGGGCCACAAACTGGGAGCCAAAAAGCCACTTTCAGCCATAGACATGCTTAAAAATAGTATATTTTATATTACAATATGGATTTTCAGCCTCTCTTGAAAAATTGGAAGATCTTGGCAAAACTGGGTCCACATTTCTGCATAGCAAGAATATGCTGGAACTAAGTAGTGGCTCCCTCCTCAGATAGGGTACACACTCTTCTTTTGACATAGTTTCCACCATCCCTTACTGTTTGACAGTTAGTCATCTCTCATTTATATTACCTGTCAATTATACTACATAACATGAACTTACATTACCTGACTATAGTCACTTGAATATGCAGGCCCCTGATCTAAGTATCAATATTAGGGCAAGTCTGAAGCCATGATATGATGGGCAGTCTGCTGGACTTGGCATTAGGAACCTGGACGTTAAATGTTGAAGATATATTTTGGTTAGCAATCCTTCTCTTAAATAATCTGATCATGGGAATGGGGAGGAGAGGTTAACTTTCATTGACACTAATTGCTAGTGTCCATTGAGCTGAAAGGAACCACGTATTGAGAACTAAAAATATTTTAACTGGTGGGACTTTAGAAAGCATAGGGGAGATATCTCTGGGAAAGAAATCTTTCCTAGGAACTCTTAAATAATCCTACTCCTTCTCCATCTTAAGTGTTTAGGAGAGTTTTTGCGACCCTTAGACATTGGTCATCAAGTGGAGTTAACTACTATTCTTCCACCTCACTGTCCCACCCACTTGTTTGGGGCCAGCGGCCTGGGTCTTCCCATTCCCAGCTGTGTCCTTCATTGAAAGGCCATCTTCCACTTGAAGAGGGGATGAGGAGGCCCAGTCTCCTCCAGAAATTGCTTGGGAAGCCAACATCCTGAAAGCCCAATTTCTGGTTTTTCATGATATCTAGGTTAATAAGTAAACTCACTCCATTTTATTTTACTTTCTATAATTTTATTTATTTGTTTGTTCATTTGTTCATTCATTCCTGAATCCTCATCATCAGCCCTCCTTTTAGAGATATCATTCGTAAGTTTCATTTGGGCTGATTTTGGATCAGACAGTTTTCCTCCTCTTCGTTATTTGTTCACTAGCTCAAATATGAATCGAGTTTGTACTGTGTCCTAGTTGTTATATGAGACGCAAAAGATAAAGAACCAACTAGAGCACAGTTCTTACCTTTCAGGGACTCATAGTATGGTGAATGCTCTTTTGAAAACGTTACACACAGTCATATGAGTGCAAAGTATTATATATTAATACAGAAGCATGTCAAGACAGGTTGAAAATAAGATTCTTGGTTATAAGTGAGGAATTATATATTGGTAGGAGAAAAAACTCACTATTTTAAATAGGTAAAATAGGATCTAGTTTCATATTTTTGAGCTGTGATGAGGTTCATGATGTTTTGTAATATAATTTTTAGAGTATAAGGTTACAACCTTCATTAAATGTAATAAGGTTACATAATATTTAAGTTTCTATTTCTTGTACAAGTGCAAAATGATAAAAATTTAGGGGCTTCCCTGCTTGTGCAGTGGTTAAGAATTCGCCTGCCAATGCAGGGGACACGGGTTCGAGCCCTGGTCCGGGAAGATCCCACATGCCGTGGAGCAACTAAGCCTATGTGCCACAACTACTGAGCCTGCACTCTAGAGCACATGAGCCACAACTACTGAGCCCAAGCGCCGCATCTACTGAAGCCCACCCACGCGCTCTAGAGCCCGTGCTCCGCAGCAAGAGAAGCCACTGCAATGAGAAGCCTGCGCACTGCAACCAAGAGTAGCCCCCACTCGCCGCAACTAGAGAAAGCGCATACGTGCAGCAATGAAGACCCAGCACAGGCAAAAATAATAAATAAATTAAAATAAATCAAAAAATATTTAGGCTCACATTTTATGAAGCTCAAAATAATTTTGTTTGTTCCAAAGACTGTAAAGAGGTAGGTTTTAACATTTACTTCTAGTGTATAGGTAAGCGTTCTGTCTAAAACCTTCTTAAAAGCTGAGACAAAGAATTTACTTGAGTTTAATGAAATGCAGATTTAAAGCTGTCACTTTCTTGACAATTCTGTTCTCCTTGAG